ACCTCAACTTTTCCTCATTTATGTAGGACAGTCTTATAATATGCATCCAGATATCCTCCAATCACACAAGCTGAAAATTGTTCCATTTTACTGCAGTTCTGTAACCATATGGGAACCAATCCTGCCTGTGTTCTGTGCACATCTAAAATTCCTGCTGAATGACCTGCCCTGGGAGCGAGTTACCAGTGACCCAGGGCTCTGGCGGAAGGAGGGGGGGGAGCCCAGGGCTGGGGCGGCAGGGGGGTGCGGGTCAGGGGGAGAGAGCCAAGGGCTGGGGTGGCAGGGGGGGTGCAGCGAGGAGCCCAGGGCTGGGACGGGGTCAGCCAAAATTTGTTTTGCTTGGGGTGGCAAAAAACGTAGAGCCAGCCCTGGTTAAAGTGGTGTGGGGGATCCTGCACGGGGTTGGGTTTTCCCTCAGTTCTATAAATGTATTGTTCCCATCATTAGAGATCTTTAAATAATGAAATTGCTGAGAAACACAAGTGTTGGCATTTATACAACAGGAATGTAGATATCAGCCATTATTTTTGCCTATAACTGTTCCTCTAGGTCACGAAGGCAGAATAGGAATGGCATCCATTCGACTAAAGGAGGGCTGTGAATTTAATGGGGAGCAGACATACAGACATGTTGTGGACTTCCTACCGAATTATGCAAGACCTCGCTTTGTCAGGATTCAGGTAAGGCAGCCTTCCTACATGTGTCCTGCCTCACTGCAAAAAAGAGGGCACTAGTCTCCCTTGTTTCCATGAGGATCGCAGTCACTTATAATTATGCTGGCAGCACTCTAGGGTCCTCTTTCTTCCCTCGCTTACACTTGTTTTACACCACTGAGAAAGGAGAATCAGGCCCATGATGTTTCCATTCTGCCTAGAACCAGAAAGCTGGGTGAGCACATGAGATTGCAGGATGCCTGTCATGTGTCTGAATGTATCACATGTGTCCCTATGAACCAGAAAGGTCTCTCAGTGGAAACATACAGACTTCCTCTTACGTACTCTTAACACAGCGAAGGGAGCTAAGTTTCAAACTTAGGCTGTGCTGGTCTGCAAACTGCTCTTGCAGACATAGGGATGCACGCACCAGGAGCACTCTGCAGGCCAGGGGCCCTGACACTTCTAGATTTCAATACACTGATGAACAAACAACCTCAGCCCTCCTTTTCTATATTATTCATGGTGAAAAATAATGTTTAAGCTAAACTGAGGAAGCCAATCCTGAGGGTAATTTGATTATATGTATCTATTTATTACAAATAAAAGAATTCTCCTCTCAAGAAGACTATGTACTTACTGGGATGGTTCATCAGAAGAAACACAGAGATATTAACATCCCAAACCATTTAATCCAGCCTCTGTCTTTGGGTAGCTATACAAATAACCACATGAGGCAAACTATACTGTGCTTTCCCTTCCACGATGCAACACCCTGAGACTTACCTAACCTCCTGTAGAGATTTCCCTCTCTTTTCTTTTCTGAACGAAATCCTGCCCTTTTCACACCCCTCTTCTCTTAAACTCAGAACAGGGTCCAACTGGTCCTAACTGCACCAGGCCTCCTTGGGAAGTCAGCGGATTTGTTTTAGCTTCCCTACTCTCCAGGAAGGATTCCCTTGGAGCCAGCCTTCCGTTGGCTTCACTCTGGTTCCTGGAGGCCACTTTGTGCTGTAGCCCAGATGGTCAGGATCTTGGGATGGGGGATGTTATGGCTCCAAGGCACCCTTTATGGCTTGAAAGAAGCTATAGACCCTGTCACACCATTTCTTTAGTAGACATTAGTAAGGCCCTGATTCAGCAAAGCATTTAAGCACATGCTTAAATTTAAGGCTTAACTTTAAGGACGTGCTTAAGTGCTTTGCTAGATCAGGCCCTGAAGCAATTGTCTCTCATTAAGTTACAGATGGAATATGCATGAGTATGCTCACAGGAGTCTTCTGGCCTTGTTGCTGAAGGCCATAGAGATCTGTTCAGGATGGGGGGCAGTGCAGAAGGCCTTATGTGGCATTTGGCTACTGTGGCCCCAAGCATTTCTAAGGTCCAGAACCAGGATTATGTCCCACATGCTGAAACCTGCAGAAATAATTCTTGGGTAAATTTAGGTACTTATACATTTTTATTAGCTTGTCTCTGACTCCTAGCTATGAGGCTACAGAGCTGCATCAAATCTGAGTTCCACATCTCAAAGATATTAAATGTCTATACCACTGGAGGTAGGATTTACATTTTCCTTCATGTAACTAGTGCACTTGGAGAAAATGCAAGACAGTTTTCTTCTGAATGATTTGACTTTTACTGCTTTAAAGATAGCACCCACTGTTGGTTGCTTGTCAATGTCAGACTATCCTTTTTGTTTTTTCTAGGATGCTATTGAGATCACAGCAACTTTTAAACACCGTAAAGTGCAATTAGTGGAGGAGGGCTTCAACCCAGCAGTCCTCAGGGGTGGCCTGTATTTCCTGGATGACAAAGAAAAGATGTATGTGCCGATGACGCAGGACATTTATAACGCTATAAATAACAGTAGCCTAAAATTATGAGTGTGTCCAAAAAATCACTGTTCTAGAATATTCAGTTTTCAAAACACATTATTGAGTTTAAAAGTCCAAAAATCCATTTTGGTGAGTTGATAAATGTTACCAAGTGCCTGTATCCGAAATTCTGTGTGATGGAGATGTTTTAATAGATCTATATAAAACTACTTTTCTTTTTCCCTGTGGTCTGTGTGTTAACCTTCACACTCCCCACCGTCACCCAAGACACACAACAACTCTGCCTCCACTTACATCTCAGCCTGGCTGCTCCTTCCTCTTCCCCTCTCGAACCCAACACTGTCCACTCCCATCACCATATTGCTCCCTGCCTCCACTGGTTCTTCTGTGCCTCTCTCACACTGCCCCTTGTGCCTGGAACAGCCTCCATGACCCAGCGCACCATCATTCCTGTTCTTGTGCGTAATCTTGTGCTCAAATGCTTTCCTGAGTCAGGGCCTCAAAATGGAACAGGAGAGGAAATTCAGAATTAGCAAGGCACATTCACAGTTTATTAGGCAAATCACAATCAACTTGTGCTCTGACTTGCGTTGTTATTACGTATGTAGACCGTAAGCTCTTTTAGAGCAGGGACCTGTCTTCGATTGTCATATAGCGCCGTGAATGGCACTGTGGTGCTGTAGAAATAATAAAATCAGAATGCTGTGGTGGTGTTTTTTTAGGTTTGTGTGTCCAAATGCCACCCAATCTCTGCAGATACACCCTCAGAGAACTGGGTCCCTTGTTAGGCTTTTTGCCAATACATTGAAGGGACTATAAATCATTATATGACTCCAGGTAATTCACTTTCAGGATTTTAGTTCTGAAGCAGTTAAAGTCATGTGTTACCCTTGATCCACACCACATTTTCAACTGATTTCACCTGGACTGAAGAGCAGACCACACATGGCCTTTGTACACACAAAAGTCGTACTGGTTTAACTATACCACTAACTAAAGCAGTACAATCTTCCCCTCTCCCCCCCCCCGCCAGTCTGGCCCCTCCCCCGCCCCCCCAGTGCGGCGGCAGTTATACCAGAATAAATGTACTTATACTAGTATAGCTTATTCCAATACAGGAAGGGGAATAAGCTATACCGGCGTAAGGCACCTTTATACCAGTATAACTGTGTCTACATTAAGGTTTTTACTGGTATCAGTTAAAAAAAAATCACACCCCAATCAACATTATTATACAGGTACACAAAGTGTGTATGGATCAGGCCTAAGATTACTGTTTTATCTGCTCTCAGAACCTTGGATTAGATGCTCTCATTAGTTTTTCGCAGAGGTGTTCTCGCTTTAAAGTATTTTTAATGCACCAAATAATAAATGTGCTAAAAAGGACTGATTTTTTATAATAATTCGCAAGAATTTTCCTTGCCAGAGTTACAGTGGGGCATTAATAGGGCTGTGTGGAAGGCTAGTGTCGCCATAATGAAACATGTTCTTGGGATGGGTTAGGTTCTGCTATGGTTAAAAAGCCAGGCAAACAGTATGAAAGAAACACTGGAGAGGATTAATAGGCCAAACGCTGCCCTTGTTTATATCTGTACAGCCCAATTTACCCCGGGGGGGGGGGGAGGAGGGGCGGGGAGTTTGCCTCCACTGGTGCTTCATGGATGTAACTCAGGCAGAATTTGGTCTTACTGACCAGAGCTGGTGCTAGCTCATTGGAGCCCTTAAGCAGGAATATTCTTGCCCCATCCCCTCCCCACACACAACCCATACTAATAATTAATAGGGGGCCCCCTTGAGCTGCTCGGGGCCCTAAGCAATTGCTTAGTCTGCTTATGCCTAGAGCCCTGTGTGGAAACAAAATTTGTATCTGCATCTGAGCTGCACTCCGCAAAAATGATCCGTGGATATCCACATCTGGATGCGGATATCTACGAATATAAACCAGATATCCATGGATTGGCAGGGCTCTCCTTATGCCTAACGCTGGCTCTGTTACTGAGCCAGAGTCCCTGCCTAGGTTGTGCTGGCACATGTTTCAGGTGCCCAGCAGTGGTAAATTTGCCTGGAGCAGGGTTTGCAATGGTGTAGGCTGCCCACCACCCCCACTATCGTGAGGGCCTATAACTAATTGAATAGATATGCAGGCAGGGCTCCTGCAAAGCCCCTCCCCGACTTGAAGCTGCCTTTGTCTGCCAGCCCCTGGGAAGGGCAGCATGAGTGAACTCCTCTCTCTGGCACAGTGAGGGGGAGCTGTTAGCATCCCCTGCTCCCACAGGTGTGAATCAGTCCCAGTAACTTTTCAATCAAAATCAAGCCACTGGAATAAATGGTCTAAATTCAGAGCTGAGCTACACCTCATGCATTCCCATTGAAGCCAGTGGGATTGCTCCTCGTTTAAATCAGCAACGAATCCAGACTGCTACCTATGAACAGCCTTCTGGCAAAACAGGAATTAACAATCCAAAATCTAATTCAAACCCCACCGCAGTCTGGAAGGAGGAGCTTCACAGAACAGGTTTAAGAGGTTTATTTGTCATTTTAATCAATAAATACACACTGTGTTTTGCTTCGGTATAAGCACAGGACTTTTCTTAATGATCATTCACATTGTTTCTCTATCAAACATGGTAGCAGGTAATATTGCATATGAATAAGCAAACTTTGGTTCTCTTCCGCCTGGGGAGGCCAATCGGTTTCACCTATTAAACAATTGCTTGCAGAGGACAGCAAGGCATCTGAATGCCACACTGAATGCTGCATTCGGGAAAGCTAGGGACGCTGTAGAACTTGATCAGTTTTCTGAAGGCACTTTTTTTGAGCATCATGACCTCTTTGGGCAGCTTGGAAAGGATTTTATCACTAGGGTGAGAACCATTTTTTTCAGAGGCTGCTGCCTTCGGGTGGCCAATGGTTGGCACACTGTTGCAGCTGAGGGAGCGGGCTGTCTTTTTCTTGCCTTGTACAGATAAGTAGCTGAATAGGAAAGAGGATAACTTATGTTTGGTGACATCTGGGACATCTTCTGGAAAGCAGTCATCCAGAGGATCCACTTGGGCTTCCAGGTGTTGATTGACCACACATGTAGTGGGACTGACTGCTACCTTTTTAGGCTGCACTATTATCTTTCTGAAAGGCGCGTTGTGTTCGCCTACCTCCGTCTGAAACGGAGAAATACCGTTATCAGCAATAGGACTGGGGTTACTTATTATGTTGGGGATTTTGGCCCCATCAGCAGAGTTGCTGGGATGCAGCATGTAATGCTGGTTAATGATTTGGGCTGAAGTTTGTTGGATGATGTGCCAGTCTCGCAGAATGTCCTCTCTGGTTGTGAACTGAGACGTTACAGTAAAGCGGATGATGAACTTGTCATGAATGGTAGCTGGAATGAGGAAGAGGCTGCCAGATTTACTCAGTTCTTTCAAGACCTTTTCTGTCAACCAGTTAGGACCCTATTTTAAAAATATATAAGAAGAAATGTATATTACAGTGGACTTTGCATATTAGAGATCTACAACAGTCTGTAACAATTGCTAGTGATCTTGTTACATTCCTTCATATAACCCTTACCCATAGCAATCAAGCTGGAAGACATGACGCTGGCTACTGCTGATTCATTCCAAAATTAATACAAATCATCATCATCTTTACCTTTAAACGAAATACAACCAATCCAAGGTGTCTCTTGGCAGGAATTTCAAAGAGGGGATCACTTCTGACCAAAGATTCAAAGTATTTGGCCATCTCAGTGCCCTGTAATTTAAAATGTTTTTTTTAAAGTGGTTATTTCTCGTGAATGACAAACAATGCATAAGATGCAAAATTAAGTAGATAAATAAAGCCAACTCCCCTCCCCAACCACAACCTCACACACCTAGTGCCAAAACACTGAGGTTCTCAGCTTTGCAAAATAATAAAGATTTCATCCAGTTGCCAAAATATCTGGCTGGATCATTCACAGCCTGATCCACAACCCATTGAAATCAATGGAAAGACGGTGACTTTGATGGATTGTGAATCAGACCCTTACTGATGAACCCTTGATATCTGTACAAAACTAGGATGACTGGGCTTGGCTAGGGTTTTCTGGAGGAACACTGGAGAATGGAATCTGTCCCCATGCTTCTGGGCAGTGGATCACTAGTAGAGACACTCCACAGCTAATGCTGTATCATACTGTGGCTTCCTGTACTTACACTCAGGGGTTTAGGCCTGTGGATTTGCATAGTTGTAGACACACTGACCATGAAGCCCCCCCCTTGCCTACTTCCAGAACTGCCCCCCACATTGATCCAAAGAAAGCCTCTGTAGAGTCCTGCTTTGTGGAGTGCAGAGGGGTGTTGGATCCGCTTGCCTGGCCTCTTCATAACTCACCTCCTTCCCCATGGAGAGCTCTTTGTGTTGGTGGAGGATTGAAAAAAAAAGATTTTGTCTGTATGCCCCATCCTGTGACCCTCTTTAGGCAAAACTCCTAGCAAATCCAATGAGAATTTTGCCTCCCTAGGAACTACAGGGTCAAGACCTGTAACCGGCTAAAAGCAGCATACATTTGTCAATAGCATTCAGATATACACAAACTTCATGTGTGAGAGGATCTCTGCTACCCAGCCTCACAGCTGTGTTCAATGGACTCAGATGCGGAAAAGCAATATCAATATGTTAACACTTGTCCAGTTAATTCACATACATGTCTGACGTGGGCTTGAAGCTTTTTCACCCCAAAGGAACGAATCACAAACCACAGCTTCAAAGAGCGAAACCGACGACTTAGTGGAATTTGCCAGTGCTGTGAACAAAACAACGGCACATCAACAAGCTGAAAAAAACAATTTTAAAGAGAGTCCCGCTTCAGCATAATAAAGTGTGGTCCTGCACCCCTCTTCTCAGATGAGTGACCCTTACTCAGACAAGGAGTTTGACCTGAGTAAAAAAGAATGCGGAAATTGGCATAACAAACAGTCATTAAAGGAAGATTCTGTGTAGTTATTTTCCCATGGTGTTCTGAAAAACCATTGTATTTTGGCTACTGCACTCAGATATTACAGTGGTTGGCGTCCTAGATGTGTCTAACTTTTTGTAAAGCATTACTAATTTTCATTATTCCGGTTCACAGTGCAGAGGGCAGTATAAACTGATTAAAGTCCTGATTCAGGAAAACACTTAACATGATTAGTCCATTGCAATTGAGGACAGCAATGCTTAACTTTAAGTCCCATTGACTTGTCCATGTGCTTAGCTGCTGTCCTGAAGAGGGATGTTTTCCCAAATCAGGGCCTAAAGGATGAATGAGACAAATGAGACTAGAAAAATTAGAAAAAGCAATGGCAGCCAATCTAACGGAGGGACCAGACGACATTTAAAAAAAGAAACTATGGTCTGGTCTATACTACCCG